ATGAATTTTGATGAATAATTCCTTTATCACTAAGATATGTATCAAATGGAGTTGAAGAATATTCCTTAGCATTATCAGAACGTAGAATACGAATTGGACATCCAAACTGAGTTTTGATTTCTTTGCGAAATTTTTGAAAAATTAAAAACAACTGAGAACGATCTTTCATTAGAAACAACCAAATCAGGCGAGAATAATCATCCACAAATGTCACAAAATAATGAAATATATTGATTGAAAAATGTTTTATTGGACCCCATACATCTAAATGAACCAAATGAAAAGGACTAGAGACACGATTATTAACCCTAGACTTGAAAGACACGCGATGGTGCTTACTAAGTTGACAAACTTCACATGACAAGAATTTCAAATGACTAAGACTAGGAACTTAACGCTTTAAAACTTGAAGTGAAGGGTGACCAAGTCGACAGTGCCACTGGAATGGAGACAAAGAAGACTGAAGAGCCACAGGATAAGGTTCGAAATCAAAATAATATAAGCCACCAGCTTCATGTCCCGTACCAATCTTCTTCTTCGTCTTGAGATCCTGAAACACACAAGAAGTAGGATCAAATGTAACAGAGCACTGGAGAGATTTAGTAAGCTTACTGATAGACATTAAATTAAAGGGAAACTGCGGAACATGTAAAACGGACGAGAGAGACAATGAATCACTAAGTTGAGTTGTCCCCAAAACCTGAAACCTAAGTGGATGAACCATTAGCAAGAGTAAATCCTTGAGAAGGAGGTACAGAATGAAAATCAGATAGAAGAGAAGAACATCCGGTCATATGATCAGATGCTCCAATGTCTATGATCCAAGGACTGCGAGTGGAAGACAATAGACATGTGTGCAGTACCTGACTAGGCAAAGGTAGCTGTGAAGATGAATTAGATGCTTGCTACAAAAACTGAGTATACTCATCCCGTAGAACAGGGACCGTATCTGATTCAGCCACGTTGTGAGATCCAGAAGCTACATCATTCGGAGAAGAGGAAACTTGATTTGCATAACTAGATGGTTTCCTATGAAGGTCCCAACAAAAGTTCACAGTATGATTAGAAAGACCACAATGAGTACATTTTCTTAATTCCCTGCCACGGCCACATCCTCCTCGTGAATCACGACCACCACGTGTAGGGCATCCCCCACGACCTCCACGGTAAGCATTATGTTCACCCTTTGAAACTACCAATGTTGAACGCTCACTACTCTGTCCAGCATTCAAATTTGATGTATCACTTGCTAGTGGAGCACGCTAAAGGCGAGAAAACACCTCAGCAAGAGAGGGAAGTGTTGGACTGCCCATAATCTATGCACAAAAAGGCTCATATGTTGATGATAAACCAGTAAGAAAACGGACAACATTAAAGTCTGCACGCTATTGTTGCATACTGCGAACATCAGCAGTAATGGGCTGATACATATTCAGCTTTTCACAGACTCCCATAACTTTGGAATAATACTCTTCTATACTTTGAGTACCTTGTTCAAGATTGAAATACTGCTTACAGAGTTCATAGACACGAGTGATATTACCTGTCCCAGAATACAATTGCTGCAATCTGTCCCATATCTCCTTGGCAGTATCCAAATAAAGTAACGTTGAACTGATTTGGGGTTCAATGCTGTTTATCATCATAGAGAAGATCTGCGCATCTTCCTTTTCCCATGCATCAAAAGAAACACCAATTGCCTTAAGTTCCTCTTTAGTCAGATAAGTACCAAGACCTCTGCCTTTGAGAAAAATGGCAACAGATTTGGCCCACAATATGTAATTCTTCCCATTGAGTTTAACTAAAGTCATGGGAGAATGAAGACTGTTCGTGGGAGAAAGCAAATCTGAACTGGATGCCATGTTGAATCCAGCAAAACAGAGAAGAAAAAAAAAAAAAAAAAAATAGCAGAATCTGTATTCTGGCCGAACCTGGAAAACGGGCTGGACCTGAAAACGGGCTGGATCTGGTCAAACGGGCCGGATCTAAGCTATCCCAGGTTTAGTAAACCAGGGTTGGCATAGCTATATCCATATAGCCAAACATGGGTCTTCTTCTTCACACCTTCACAGACGCCAGTGAACAACGCAGTGGAGACGACGACAACCCACTCACAATCAATGGCTGAATCAATAAGCAGCGATCGCAAACCGAGACTGTAGATGTCGGCGAATCAAAAGGATGAACCTCACCTCTGCAAATCGAGACTATCGATGTCGGCGAGATCGCTGAAGAACAAAGAGGAGCTGCTGGTGACGACGAACAAGGCAAATACGACGACGACCAAGCTAACGACAACGGTGAACAAGCTGAAGACGATGACCGATGCTGTAGATCTGACGACAACGGTGAACGATCTTCAAATCTGACGACGAACAAGGGACTTCCAAGACCACCAACACCAGAATCGCGATGCCGATCTTATACAATAACAACCCAATTACAGACTCTCACACCCATGATCGCAGCGCTCTGATACCATGTTCATAATCATATGAGAGAGAGAAAGATTGTATCTTGTATATTCAACATCACAGACCTAATAAGCCTATGAAGGCTTATATAATGATTACAAGTCTTACTTAATAACACAAGGGCCCTATCAACTTTCTGTAATTACATAATGACCCAACACTTATATATATATATAACATTCTAACACCTCCTCCAACTCCTTATCAGTGACAACCCTTAAACTGTAGCAAAACTTCTGTATAATAAGGGACAACGAAGTGAGCATCTTCTTCTGTTCTTCAGGGTCCTTGCAATCCATGGGCAAGAAGAACTCCAAGACAAAGTCAGTTGTATAGGTGTCAATGCTCCGGAGGCGTATAGCAACAGCAGTATGCAACCCAAACATCCTTCCATGGTGAGAAAGGGGATACTCTGTCTTGCTAAAAGATGTGAATGCTTTCCCAGCAATACCTTAACCTTTCAGCAGATGGTGCTCAGAGCAAGCCTTGTGAAAACCCTGGATACAGGGATTGGCTACATAGGAAGTAAAATCCACAGTGGAAACACAAAAAACATAGTTCTCATCGGAGTGCCGGTGCCCCACTTTACATTGTTGGATGCATGGAAGCTACGTCTGAGCCAAGGGCAATTGATGTGTCCCACATGCAGATATCAACACCTCTAGAATTTCAGGTAGTGCAGCTTGGTAGGACCCATTGCATACCTGAAAAAAAAAAAAAGAGTACTATACATTATCCCCAAGAAGAGAAGTCCTGACCATTTATGGACTAATTTTTTGTTGCAGATGTTATCCATACCTTGACTTTTTGAGTGCTTGAAACTTCAGAACTCCTCAGATCAAATGCCTATAAGCAAACAAGTTTTTTTAAATCAGAAAATAGGGAGAAATATGAGTTCTCATTGTCTTTCATGTTTCGATTAGATCCCTCCGCGAACCAGAAAAAACCCAAATGTTGAAAAAGAAAAAAATATAAAGCAGCTTAATCACTAAAGAAGCAGAAATCAAAACCTCAGTTTAGAAGGAAGCATTTAAAAAGTGAACCATGCAAAAATATTGATGGGAAGAGAAGAACAAAAGATGGATGAATTTTTTAAACAAATGAGGATAGAAAATAGAGAGAACTCAAATACACATTACTGGCATAGAAGAGAAAGTATGGAGTAATTAAAACTAATTTTTACCTCTTACAAGAAGTTAAGTGCGTTTAGGATGGTCCTTATAAAAGACTTTTTGTCAATTGTCGTCAAATATTTTCCTCATCTTGAACTTTCTCAGACGCAATATAGGTTAATTTTGCATTTTCAATAAAGTTCTACTTGCTTTTGCTTTTAAGTTGAACACACAAATTTACTTATAAACGCAAGAATCGTGCTGTCAGATCCTCACCCTCTTCAATCACTTCTCGAAGATATAATGACCTGCTTGGTTTGTCACTCGGAAAACAGTTCTCTGATTTTCAGGCCTCTTTTTAACTGAGTTTTCAGAAAACAGTTCTCAAAAACTGTCAACCAAGCAGATTTTAATACAGTTTTCTGGTTTTCAGTTCTCAAAAAAAAGTATTCTCATAAACTGAACCAAGCAGACCCTAACTGATCAAGATTCAAAAAAAAGAGCATGCATGTAAAAGGTTCCCTAAAGAAAGCTTGAAGTTCTAAACCAGAAATTATAACAGATAATTTAACTCCAACAGAGCAGCTCTGCCACTTCTCTTGATAGATTTAAGTACAAGGAATGCCTTCCAATCTAATGTTGGAAAAGGTAGCGTACTTTATTCCCTATTTTGAGTGAAAACTCCTTCCCATTCTTCAGAAAAATAGCTCCTACGAATGCACAATAAAACTCTTCTACGTATAACATGAAAGTGTGAGATCTGTATCTTTTGTTTCTTTTATAAGCCGTAAAAGACCCCCTACTAACACCTCCTATGGTTGCACCACAACTGCACAACATGGAGTGATGAAGATCACGATCAGGTTGCATTTTTGTTATTAAGATGCATTCTCTTGCTTTTCTCCCCCATTTAAATATCCACCTCCATGGATGCCACATAATGATACATGGCAAAATATTCCAAAACTTAATAATTTACCTCCAAGGGCTTAGCAGGAGTGGTATCTCCTTCTTCCAAATGGAAGATTAAAGGTTCAAGTTTCCAATGGGACAATAATGGGTGTGTGTGAGTGACTAACCCAAAAAAAGAGAAAGAGGGGGGAAAATAGTTAAAGAATTTTCAGGAAGATCCTCCCTAATCCCATGAGGTAGAGCTAGCACACATCTATGGAAAGTAGGGCTGCAAACGAGCCTAGCCGTTCACGAAAGGCTGCTGCTCGGCTCGTTAATTACTCGGCCCGAGCTCGTTTATTTAATAAGTGAACCGAGCTTGAGCCGAATTATTAGGCTCGATTTATAAACGAGCCGAGTCTGAACATCAGTAGACTCGACTCTTTTGTTCATGAACCATTTACAAAGCTTAATAATGCGTTCACTAATATACCCAATTATAATATATAGTATATATATACATATATACATTTATATACAAAAGTATTCAACTTTTTCTAACTTCTGCCCATGTGATTCAAAGTCTTTTTTGCATCAACCAATAAATTTATATACAAAAGTATTCAACTTTTTTAAATCTGCCACCAGTACCCATGCGCATATGTGATCCACACAGCCCTTTTCTCATCAGCTAACAGCCATCCTAGACTTCCTACTCTAAAACTTGGAGTATTAAACTTTTTCAAACCTGCTGCCAGCCTGCCACCAGTACCCATGTGATCCGCACACCCTTTTCTCATCAGCCGATAGCCATCGTAGTCTAGAACTTACGCTGTCTGACTATCCACGTGACATGCACTGATACACAACAAAATTGAAACCCACTCCTCACTCTTCAATTCTCATTTATAGATCCCATATTCAGGATTTATCTTACTTTCTCAGTTTCTCTACTCACACAACTGGTTGGGTTGCTTTGCCCCACAACAACGCCGATCATCTTTTTTGTAAGTCGATTTTTTTACTTCCTCACTTCTTTTATCTTCTCTCTCAAATATCTTTACATAAATTGGGTGTTTTTGCTTTTGAAAAGTTAGGATTTTGTTTGTTTTGAAAACACATCTTATTCTTACTGATTTGTTGATTTTTTTTGTTTTATCTCTTCATCTATTAAACTTTTATGTATAAATTTAGGAGTTTCTTTTTCTTTGAAAGAGTTAGGGTTTTTACTTTTTGAACGTGCAGGTTGAAGGATTTTTACTAGAAGACTTTTTGGTACTTCTGAATGAAGGGAAATTATTATTTTTGCACGGTTAATCAGTTGCGATGTAGAGGGGAATGCCAATACTTGTAATGTTACTTTTCTAATATGTAAGGAAATGCTAGGGGTATGCTCTGGGCTATAATTGTGCTGAATTGTTTCTTGGTATGATTCTATTTTATGTAGTAATTAGTTTTGCTTAATATTTTTATTTAAGATATTTACATCAATTAGATTTGATGTTATTCATTGTTTTGCAAATGGAAATATGAAACTTTTAGTTGTACTATATTTACATTTTATAATAAACTTATATTACCTACCAAAATAAAATAAAACAGAGTGAAAGAAAAAGGCTGCTTGTATTGATTTTTAAAGGCCATTTTGAAAATAACCAATCTGAAGCCGAGCTCGAACGAGCCATCAAGCCGAGCTTGAACTTCATTAATAATGGACGAGCCGAGCTTGAGCACTACGAAATGAGCTCGAGTCAAGCTCGAGCCGAGTTTGAGCACTATAGTTTCATGATCGAGCCGAGCTCGAACAAGACCTTACTCGGCTCGGCTCGGCTTGCAGCCCTAATGGAAAGTGGAAACTACAATTAGGATACTGTCTTGTTACAAATGGCAGGAATATCCCATAACATTATACCTGACAAACTAATAATTTATATATGTCAGCTCCATTTGGAGAATAATAATGACTGAATTTAAACAACAGGATAAAAGGGTAAGTTGTTTCTCCTCTTTGCGTGATTCAATCCTAAAGTCGGACTAAGCATCAAGTCAAGGAATTCCCAGAGCACAGGAACCAGGCCGTTGTTTCCACTTACACGGCCGCGGAAATGTGCAATCACATGCATGGCTGCACGGTAGCAGTTCAATTCTGGAGCACCTTGGGTATGTTCTCATGTAGGCACTATGAAGATTAGAGCAAGTCAGGAATTTCTTAATTTTTAGATTGAATGACCCCAAATTTGCTTCATCAAATCAGAGGTTCTTTTGAATTAAGCTTGTTCATTGATTACAATATAATTGTTACCACATATATTGATTGTATGCCCTCATGTCCAAGACTCTAGAGTTCCACTTATGCAATATACAGGATATTTGCATAGTCATGATGGCTCAATTCCAACCTCTTACACATCTTCATCAATGGCGATATTAAAATTAGGTTATAATGGAAAGGCTTTGCCAATCTTAACAACAGAGATTGAACTATAAAAAAAGAGAGCAACCAATTAAAAAAAAAATGGAAAACTTAAATATAGAGAACTCACTTCAAGTGCTTTGCAAATGCTTTCAAGCTCAGGATGATACTTGATCTTCTCAATAGTCATGGCAACCTCGATAACTCCCAAGCAATTGCGGCTACCTTGTTCAAATACAGGAACGGCAAGGGTTCCGCGGATATCATACTTTTGTGCATGACCAACTCGCGGGAATTCATTACTTCTAAAGAATCGCACATCAGGAGTCCACTCTGGAACCTTAACCATGAAAACCCGGCCAGGCAATCCGACCATCTCCTTGGAATCCTTCTCAGCAGAGAACTGGTAATTCACAGAGATGTCTCTATAACTAGCAAGCCTTGGGCAGTTAAGATCAAGCGAGAAAGGTTGACCATTAGTGGTAAGAACACGTCTGCCCCCATTATATACTGGCAACCATATTTGAATAAGCACATCTGTGTCTCTTGGAGACTCTTTTATGTAGCCAATTGCCCGAATCAGTCTTTCCATTACAGAAGATGATGGACCTGGATTAGCTCGGGGTCCAATCCACCACCTTCTGCTAAGCTCAGAACCTTCAACCATATAATTTTCAGATCGACTTAAATACCCTGCAACATTACTCATATTCTGGCTATGAGGCTGAGTTTTAGTAGGGTTTTCTCCTAGGAATTCACTAATAGATTGGTTCTCTAACAAAGCTGATCTTTGCCTCTCCTCTTGACTGACACTTTGCAATGAGCTCCTGCTCAAAACACCATTATTAGCGTCAGAAGTATGCCACAACAATGAAGGGTCAATAAGAGCACCGGAAGTAGAGGGACTGTGATGTAAAACTCGGAACCATCAGTTGCCCCCAACCAACATCCTTCTAAAAAAAGTTCATCTATGAAATCGAAATCCATAGCGGAATCTGGTGGATAGCCAGAAACAGTATTGGGTGGGATATTACCATTTCTGATATTTCTTTAAAACTGAATAGTGGAAGTGTTTAGGTTCCCAAACAATCAAATATGAAGTAAAACCCTAATCTCTCCAGATTCCCAAGCATCTTCAATAAAAATCTAAATAAAAAGCAATCAAAGAACCAATTCAGACCCAAATAACTTCAAAGAAATCTAAAAGGAACACACATCCATTATATATATATATATATATATATATATATGCTTAAAACTATGAAAAGAAGAATTGATATATTCTACCAAGATGTGTTTCTCTTTTTCTCCCACAGAATCTAAAATCAACAATAAATAACACAAAGATTAACAACCCAATTCATTTCATCCACAATAGATTGAAGGCCATTCCACTCCCAAGTTTCAAATCAAAATAACACTTTTTTAACCCTTATTTAAGATTCTAGTTTCAGCAACAATTAATTTAAAATAATAATAATAATAATAGATTCTAGAAAACTAAAAATTGAAAATGACCCAAGAACAAAAACAAATGAAAAAAGAGCAAGAGTGACTTACTATGTTCACTATGTAAAGATTATTGGGTATTCCAAAGTGGGTATATAATTTTTAAATGTATATATTTTCTCAAAACCCCAAAACTTCTTCTTGTTGTCCGTGATGCAGGAACAACATCAACAGATGATTCATGAGCTTCAACGCCGCTGGTACCTGTTAAATCCCCTCTTTCTCTCTTTGTTATCATCTGATTTGTCCGACAAAATTCGGTAGGACCCCACCACAAACACTTTGGAATTCCTGCGGTAAAGTCAACTGTAGATTCGAGAGAGAACAAATATAGTACAGTACTTTTGATATACAGAGAGGAACTCAACTGATCTTTCCTAATTGATTTTGATTTTTTTATTGTTTATTTATTTTGTTTTTTTTTTCACGCACATTTGGACAGATTCTTTACTTTTTAAGAATATAATTTTTAATATTTGTTTATACTCTCTCTATCCCTATAAATCGAATTACACATTTGCTTATACTCCTCTTTATCCCTAAAACAAAATGTTCCTATTCTAAACCTAACTTTTTAAGAATATAATTTTTAATATATTTTTTAAAAAAATTAAATGCTCTTACACTCCTCGGGTTTGAGTTTATTACTCTCAAATAAAATTTCAGTAAAAATTGCTGTAACACACTAACACCCCATAAAAAAATGTTTTAAATATACCTTTTTTCTGATGGGTTCACAATTTCACAAACTTAAATTGTTTTCATAACTTCAAGTTAATAAGGGTAAATTAAAAATATTAAAAAAATAGTGCATTGAAAGGAGAAGTGTGACAATTATTTTAGACGAAAATGATAAGTTAGATAATTTTTTTGTGGGACAAAGGGAGTATTGGTTAAGCACGGCTCCAATTTTTAAAAACTCACTTTATTTTGAATACCAATATAAGTTATTCAAGTTGATTTGACTTTGCATTGACATGTTTAGTTAATTTAGAAATCAAGTATGAACTTGAATTTGAGATCATAGGAGAAAATTTGATTAGAAATCAAATAAGTTTTAATAAACTAAAGTTATGTTTGGTAGGTATGAAATTAGAATTGGATTGGAGAAAAGTAACTTCAAAAATTGAACCAATTTTTTTTTTTTTAATTCCACAAATTTTAATTCCAAGACTCTAATTCTGCCAAACAGCTTAATTTTATTCACAAATTTTAGTGGGTATTATTAAGTCGAGGTATAAATGAATGGTCCAGTCTCCTGGTTGCGCACTATGGGCCTTCCCTAGTTTGGTTCCTTCTGTTTTGGCGAATATACCCCTTCGGGTCACTAATAGCCTTTGGGCTTTCTTCGTGTAAGTAGCATTCACATATATAAAAATAGTTTTTCACCTTGCGAGAAAAATAAATAAATAAATGTTGAATCAATAAATAATTATCAAAGGCTTTGTGGCTCAGTGGTATCTCCTCCAAGTGAATGGTGAAGGTTTAACTTTAACAAGCCTCAGTATAATTTACAAAGAAAGCAAGGAATCCGACCTGAGACCAATATGAAATCCAAATACTTCGGATTTCATGGGTGACACGTGGGTCAGATAAAGCCTCAACCCATCTGCAGATGAATAGCTCTTGCCTAGAAAGAGAAAAAATAAAAAATAAAAAATAATAATAATTCCAACAGAGGAAATCCACATTATTATGAAAAAAGAAAAATAAAAAATAATCACTTGAAGTGCAATTGTAGGATAAATAGTACCTGTCTGGTGCAAATGATCGATATCTCTCTCCGGGCTGCTTAAAGTTGTTCTCTTTCGCAATAATGCACTGCATTGACCAACAGATTCAATAGATCTATGTAAATACCAGATTTTATGTCTTGATTATTATTGAACACGACCATATTTCACATTAAGTAGGTCACGGGACTGGTCATGCACCTAACCCTTGACATCAGAACGAAATACATGCATATCCAAATGTAGAGAAAAGACTCCCTTCAATTTGGTTAGCGTCACCAACTCACCAATACCACCGCCACCATTACACCTATCAAATGCTCACTGCTCACTGCTCACTGGTGCTATCAGCACCACAAAGCATAAATTTCAAGTTTACAATATCTCTTGTACATTACTCAACCAAACATGCTTCTGAATTTAAGTTTGCAAAAGGAGGTCAAGAAAATGAAAATGAAAATACAACAAAATGAAAGTAAAGAAGCCGAAAATCAAATAAAAAGAAAAACCAAAAGAAAAAAATAAAGTATTATGGATTTTCGTATTAAAAAAAAAAAAAAAAAAAAAAAAAAAAAAAAAAAAAAAAAAAAATAGCTGCATATGATCTTCCAATATTAGTTAAAAGGAATCCAACAACAAAAGACCAATGCCAAAACAGATGTTGAACTGGTAAATCTATGGAAATTACATAACTAAAGTAGTTTAAACCCAATGTCATTCAACTAATTTGATGATCGTCAACACTAGAAAGAAGATAATATCATAAACTGACCTTCTCACACTTTCCGGTCAAGATAACAGGGGGTATAGGGAATCTCTCAGCATGACGAACAGGATCAAACCTCGAAGGGAAGTAATTTCCTAGAAAAGCATCACAGAATCAATCAAAACCAAG